TATAGAACCTGCTGTCCCCAGTGAGGTTAGCTAGCAGGGTGTATGGATTAGGTACTATAGGATGTATGTTCTGGACTGTTCTAGCAATAGCTCTCAGGTTTTGAGCATGTATGCCCCTGTTCTAGGCTTTTAGTTGGTAAAATAGGAATGTTGTATGGGGATTTACATGGCCTGATCAACCCCTGTTCTAAAAGCCTATTAATTTCAGGAAGGATTCCTCTTATGGCTTCTGCCTTCAAGGGGTATTGTTTCGCCCGGGGCCAGTGATCTATCTGCTTCAATTTTACCTTTACTCGCATGGCACTGGCTGCTCGCTCCACCTGTCCTTGTGCCCATACTTCCGAGTTGACTTGGCTTAAAACATTTAGGGGAATCTCTTCCTTCTCCGGTGCTGGTGTATTCTGTAATAGGGCCATAAGCTCAACTCCCTGACTTTTGGGAACTTAGATCTCTATTCTATCTTGTTCCCAGGTTATTGAGGCCCCTAACTTAGATAGTATATCTCTCCCCAGAAGGAGAACAGGGCATTCTGGTACATACAGAAAAGAATGCTTCAGCAATTTTGATCCAGTTTCACAGGTCAAAGGGCTCCAGAAACCTTGTGGTCTCTCCTTTTCCTGATACTCCTGTTATGTCACAGTTTCTTTTTGAAAGGTTTCCCTTTTGGGTATTCGGCACCGAGAATGCAGCTCCAGTATCGAGCAAGAATTCAAAGTGCTCTCCTCCCACTGTTAATGTCACCTGGGGCTCCTCAGGGGAGGTGAGGATTTGGTTTCCCGGAGTCGACCGATGAGCCCCACGGCCCCATCACTTCTCATCCGTAGTCAAGGGAAGTTGTCACGGCTCGGTCTTGTTCAATCCCCTCCCTCTGTGGGGACGGTTTGGACAGTCCTGCCGCCAGCGCCCTTCCTGTTTGCAGTCCGCACGCTGGTTAGCCCCCAGCTTTGTTGGTGGCTTTCTGGTCCCTCGGTGGGAGCCAGGCTCCCTCACCCACGGTGTCTTCCTTCTCTGCCTCGGTTACCTTGAGGAGACTGGAGGGCCACAGCTAACAGGGTGGCTTGCCTTTCCATCTCCTTGTGTTCCTTTTCATGCTCAGCTTCATCCCGGTTATTGAACACCCTAGAGGCAGCCTCTACTAGTTGTGCAGGGTTAGTATCAGGACCTATAGCCAACTTTTGGAGTTTCCTACGGATGTCTGGAGCACTTTGAGATATGAAATAGATATTGAGAACCACTGTACTACCCTGAGCCTCGGGGGTCCCAATTTGTATATTGCCTGAGGCAGTCCCAAAGCCTCTGAAAAAAGATGGAGGGGTTTTCCTCGGGGCCTTGTTGGACCTCTCTCAATTTAGACCAGTTAATGGGTGGCTGGCTTACTATTTTCATGGCTGTCAAAAGTAGACAGACCCCGAAAATGTCCTAGCTTTTCTCCATCATCAGGATCGTTGGGATTCCACCCAGGGTCAGTCCCTGGCACAGCCTGTTCACTAGGCCTGCATATGTCTGATCCTGGGTCATATTCATTATCTACTTTTTCTCTAGCTTTTAACAGAACAGATGACTTTTCCTCAGCCATGAGGAGTGTAGTTAACAGGCTTTGAATATCTGCCCAGGTTGGATTACAGGTAGAGAAGACTCCCTTTATCAGGTTTATGAATTCCTCTGGATCGGCCCTCAATCCTTTAGGGTGTGCCTTCCAATTATACAGATCAGAAGTGGAAAAGGGGACGAGCACATTAATAAATCTCCCCTCACCATCAGGCACTTGTTTTAGGGGATATATCCCAGGTTCATAACTGGTTCCTAATCTAGTTGTACTACCTGAGAGAGGAGGGTAAAGGGTCTTTGGTTGTTGGAGAGTCCAATTCCCTGTAGAGGGATTGCTTGGGGGGGACAGTAAAGGGTTTGGCCCTGTTAACAACCTCCAGCTTAAGCAGGGGTGAGGTAAGGGAATAAGATGGAGGTCTCTCGGGGCTCACCAGCTGGTCTAGCGGTGGGGCGGAAGCTGGAGTATCTGAGCGAGGTGGACTCTGAAGTGGGCTTTCCTTAGTCTCACGGTTCCTGATTTGGAGGAGCAGGTCCTCCTCATCAGAGAGATCTTGTAATATGGGAAGTATCTTTGAAGTTTTAGATTCAACCTTTAACCCTTCATTTAGACATAGTGCCATGAAGCACTGGACATGAGGGATTTCTTCCCATTTCTTGGTCCTTTTGCAAAATAGATCTAATTGTAGTATGGTGTTAGCATTTAGTGTCCCATTTTCTGGCCATTTTCCCCCATCCTCCAGTGAATATTGCGTCCAGACTGTGTTACATAAAAAGATCATCTGCTCTGGGGTCAATGGGAATACCAGAAGACCTTCCAATTCTGGAGGATGCAGCCCAATGGGCGTTCCTCTGGGATGGAGCTTGCTCCCCCCGTATTCTATCATCTTTTCTTATGGTCTGTTTCCAACCTCCCAGGAGCAACCTGTAATGGTTAGTGGTGACACAGATGCCACAAGTTTGTTCCCAGAGGAAGTTTAGCACCCTAATAGCCTGAAACTAGACCCGGGCCACATAACTAGTCAGTGACAATTTTAGGGAGAAAAATTATTTCAGTAAAAACTATGGTACACATTTGTGGATATTAGATCCTAGTTCTGTTAATTGTCTTTGAGGGGTTTTTGGTTTTCTACCTGTAAACTGGACTGGATCCTGAATTCTTCTAGTCTCCTGAAATATCTGGCTACAAATCTCCAAACTAATGTTTTCAGTTTTTTTCTATCATTTTCATTTGGAATCATTGAGAACTGAACCTGCCCTTTCCTGAAGCCTTGCAAACTGAAGCTGGAGGACTTGATAGAAACTTGAGAGGTTCATGTCTGTTGCTGTGTAAGCCACTCAGAAAGTTACCTGAATACCTGATGACATCATCAGAGACATTTCAAACAGCAAACGATGCTTTGACTCTGACATCTAGAAATCTTTTTGACTGGCTGTGCCCTGTCCTCAGAAACTGGTTTATAATTTGCTCCCACCATTAACTTTGTTTTTCTTTTCGTCTTATTAAATACCCGATTACTTGCTTACACAATATAGGCCCAACTTTGGGAGCCCACCTGCATCACAGTCTTACTAAGAGACTGATTCAATAAGATAGAACAACAGGATATCCTTCAAGATTGAGGGATTGAACAACAAAAGGGTGAATTGATACCAGCTCGACACAAGGTTAACATAAGGGAAGCCATATTGTAGGAAAGAAACCCTATTATAAGTTTGAATGACCTATGATTAACTAACCCAGACATGCTCCGTAGATTTTATGCCCCCTCTCAGCTGCTGTAAGTTGAAAACTTTGTTCTTCTGAGTTCCTTAGGAATGTGACGATCCCTGGGCGGAGAGTCTATGCTGATAGCCGTCACCAATGAGGACTGAAAGATCAGGGTATAGGGCGTTGCTCCAGTCTCTGATGCATATCTAGTAAAACAAAAAACTAGCAGGAACTAAGACCAGATGTCTGCCCCACCTGGAAACCAAGCCCCTATAGAACTGGCTTGTTATCGTGCCCCTTGCTAGCAAGCTGTAATAAAAAATCCTTTCTCTGCTACCACCTTGCCTCTTGACTATTGGCATGTCTTGCGGTGGGCAGAGGACCCGCCCCCCTTGGGCAGTGACACTCCCTTCTCCCGTTATCTCCCTGCTAGGAGCCCCACCCTATTTCCAGCTCCTCAGAGTGGAACTCCCTTTGTTTCCTGGGATGAGGCCTCAGTCCCAGATGGTGAGCCTGTATGAGGGTGGGGTGCTCTGAATGCCAGGCTACTGGTCATTAATAACAGGCTAATGATTCTAGGCCCTCCCTGGTCACGATCCTTCTCTCTGCTTGGAAGGACCTGCTGACTCAGAGGGTCAGAAGGCCAATCCTAGAGGTGTCAGGCAGTAGAACTCAGGAGTCAGTCTTAGAGATTTTAGGTGGAGAGAGATCAGTCCCGGAAGAGAAGGGCCTACAAAGAGAAGAAATCTATGACGTCAACCCTGGGGAAGATTCATACCTATGGGAAGGAGCAATTGCCCTGTGTGGGCTACAGCCCTAGGAAGATTCAGCTGTGGTGCCCAGGAGTCCTGAGGGCCCTGAAGCCCAGAACTGCCCCCAGAGGAGGACCTGTCAACTCTTCCTTCCTCAGCTTCCCACTTGCCCACTAGACTGACTTTGTCTGTTCCTGGGAGGGGGATCTGCAGGTGTTCAGTGTCCACTTGCAGCCCCAAGTCACCTTTCTCAGAGAGAAAAGGTTTATGAAGGGTCTGGCAGATTGAGGATGGATTGATGAAAAAGAAAGCAAGTACAGCAAAATATTAACCATGGTAGAATCTATGTGGTGAGTATATGGGTGTTCATTGTACAGTTCTTTCAACTTTTCTATATGTTTGGATTTTTTTCATATGAAATATCAGGGGAGAGAGAGAACAAAATTGTCTGGCACATAGTAGACATTCCTAAGTATAAGACATTGGGAGTGTCATGCCTTTCCAGGAGAATTTGTATTTCAGATGCCTGGAGAGGGCAATGTTTATCCCGAAAGATGACAGATTGCAGGTGAGAACACATACAGAAACACCCCAACAAGGGAGGGAGAACCTTAGACCACACCCAGAGGTCATTAGTAACTTTGCCCACCCAAAGCTGCTGGCCCTTCGGTTGGTGACTTTTTCTCAAGTTTATTCTGCCCCTCCTGATATCTGGGCCTTGGCCCAGAGTGGGCCCCACCCTGCCACCTGGAATCCTTGTTGGGGGGGTGGGGCGTGCAGAGCAGGATAAGATGTTCCAGACCCTGCCTGACACCTGACCCTAAGAGGTTGATCATGTTTGCTCAGGAGGTGAGGTTTATATGATAAAGAGCAAAGGGAGGGCTTGGATCTGGTATAAAAGATCTTGAAGTTTCTGGGGGTTTACTTTGCATCTGAAACTGCCAGGTGAGGGGTGACAGAGGCCTGGGCTAAAGGGGGACAGGGGTGCCTGGATTTGAGTTAGAGGGAATTCAGACTGAGCTGAAGAAGAGCCTGCCTGGATTGAGCTGCAAGGGAGACCTGGATGTCAGCTAACTGGGGCATCTGGGTCTGAGCTAGTCTTAGGTGCAAAGATATCTGGGTCTCAGCTGAAGGACTGGGTGCCCCTGGGATGCTCAGGGGGATGGATGTGGCCAGACTTGTGTTAGTGGAGAAAGAATAATGACAACTAGACCAGACAGCTGGGATCTAATATGTTGAGCTGATCTCAACTCCTTCTGAAACTTCTCAGTCTATTCCACCTCCCCTAGAAGTGCTTGGACATCGGCATTTACAGTCACCTGTGTCACCTTCACTTCCCTCCTTGCATCCCTAGAGACACACCTCTAAAATGCTCCTTTCATTCTGATTTGAGACCAGGGTGAAGCTAGGAATTTAAACTACGCCCCCGATGCCCACAAGCCAGGCCAATCTACCACAGGCAGACTTCAGTTAGGTTTTGCTCAGACTCCCGGTTTGGTCAACTCAACCATCTCTATGATTTGGAGATGTCCTCCACTTCTTTAGAAAACTCCTTTCCTGCTTTGTGCCAGGAGGGAACAGGGCTTGACACAGCTTAATCCAGATAGAGGGTTAGGATTGGTCTTCTGGTTTGGGACAGAAGAGGAGGGTTGGCCTAAGCCAGACCAGGGAGAGGTAGGGGGTTAAGGACACAGAAGATAGTATCTTCGAGAACAGGACTAGAGACTATGGACAATCCTTTCTAAGCCCAAGACTAGGTTGCCTAGGACTAGTTGAAGGACCAAGAAGCCTGAGTCTAAACTGGAGGTCAGGGATGCCTGGGTAAATGAAGGCCGGGGGCAAAAGGGTACACCTTCATTTTCTCCTTTCTTCCCACTCCCGCCCCAGGATGTTGACGATGGCTCTTCTTGCCCTTCTTTGTGCATCAGCTTCTGCCAGCGCCAGTAAGTGAGAAGCCAGGAGCCCAGTACTAGGGTCATGGGAAGGCAGCCTCCTGCACCGCTGGTGGCCAAGGCTTTCAGAGGCTGGCTGGGGTTGGTGGGAACTGAGTTGTGGGAGGAATAGGGGTGGTGGGGAGAAACACCTCTCAGGGGATTTCTCCCTCCAATTACTATTTTCTCCTCCAGTTCAGGCTAGGACCTCGTCCTACAATGGAGAGTATGGAGGCAGCGGAGGACAGCGATTCTCTCATTCTGGCAACCAGCTGGATGGACCCATCACTGCCCTCCGTATCCGAGTCAACACATACTTCATTGTGGGGTAAGATTCTTTGAGTGTCTGGGGTTTGGGGTCCCTCTAGGATCTTACTAAATTGGAAAGTTCTCAGTCACTTTGGGTCACATCTGTTTCAATCAACAAGTCCCAGGGATAACATGATATGGAAAAGTTGTCAGAGGACTTGGATTTGAGAGCCACACTGCTACAACCCCCAACATGCATGACCTTGGGTAAATCATATACCATAAACTCTCAGGGGCGTAGAAGTTGTCTAGCTAAGCCCCAATCTGAGGTTTAAATCCCCTCTGGCATCCTCAACCTTTGCTTGATGCCTCTCCCAAGATGTGTATCCTTCTGATCCTGGATCTGCATCTTGGGACAGCATGGACAAGTCTCTTTCCTCATGAGAGCCTTTAAGATGTTTAAAAAACTCTCTTTGCTTCTTTCAGGTAGGGGGTGGGGGCACAGTGGGAGTGTAGATTTCAAGTTCAAGTTCTGACACTTATTGTCTGGGTGACTCTGGGCATGTTGTTTTCCCCCTGTGAGCCTGTTTGTCTGTCAGCAAAATGAGTTGAATTTCCCTGTATGATCTCCAAGGGCTGACCCAACCCTCCCATACTGCAGGACTGGCGGGAAACTTGTCATCCTTCTCACTATTTGAAGGTCTCAGCATGTGGGCCCAGAGGTCCCGAATTCTGATCATCCTACTCAGTGTCTCCCTTCCTTCCCTCCTTACCCTGCCCCTAGTCTCCAGGTGCGCTATGGCAAAGTGTGGAGTGACTATGTGGGCAGCCACCTGGGAGACCTGGAGGAGATCTTTCTGCACCCTGGGGAATCAGTGATCCAGGTGTCAGGCAAGTACAAGAGCTACCTGAGGAAGCTGGTCTTCGTGACTGACAAGGGTCGCTACCTGTCTTTTGGGAAAGACACAGGCACGAGTTTCAACGCTCTCCCCTTGCATCCCAACACCGTGCTACGATTCATCAGTGGCCGAGCTGGCTTGTTCATCAATGCCATCGGCCTGCATTGGGACGTCTACCCCAGTGACTGCAGAAGCTGCTGAATCCCAGCCTTCTCCTAGGCAGGGCACTGCAGTGGGAATGTGAGAATCCCCTTACCGCATGGCTCAATAAAAAAAAAAAGACCTGGCCACAGTTAGTGTGTATGTGGGTGTCTGCAGCTGGGATGTGCCTCCTGACTCTGGGTATGGATGTGCACATCTCATTTCTGGCTATTGGCTGGACATCAATCTGGGGAAGAATGGAAGGGGGAGAGAAGTATAAACGTCCTCGGATTTTCTTCATAATTTATCAAGAGGAATTAAGTTTCTGGCTTGCATCAACTCTCTTTTCAAGGATAGCTCCTGAGAGTGTTTACCCAAACTGGAGTTCCGAGGCTGAGGGTAAGGCCTAGTGGTGGTTTACTGCCCAAACCCCAGATGTTCCACTCTCTAGCCCTTCTCTCCCCTTGGGATAATGCCTCTCCACCAAAAGGCTGTCACCTCACTCTCTTGAGACCTCAACCCACTCGCTGTATGTGGGTGGCCCAGGCCATTGTCCTTTGTTCCTCCCCAGAACCCACTTGACTGCCGAAGTTTAACCTAAGTTTGTGGCAAGGACTCTGCCTATTACCCCAACCTAGTTCCTCCCCATCTTTACCCATAAGCCCTGATGTCCTTGCTTAGCTCTTTCAGAATCGGGGCTCTTTCCTTAGGAAGCCACCACCTCCTCAACAGCTTCTACTCTGCCAATACCATCCTCAAAATAGGAAATTCCAGGGGTGGGGAGAGATTTCCATTGTGGGTTTCCATGAACATAAGGGGTTGGTTAGAGGTCAGAGGAAGCATTAGAGTGACTGGATAGATTCAGCAAGGATATAAAGTTGCTTTGGAAATAATTCTTAGGACTCTAGTTCCCAGTCCTAGAATTTTGACAATTGTTGTGGATTTTTTTTTTTTTTTTTTGGTAGTGATGGTTGGGGATGATGGGATTTACTCATTGCTCCCAAAAGATTTATTCACATCACAGGGATGCCAGAGTCACATTTCTTCCCAATTAGACACAAAGATAAGTTACATACATGTAATTTTATAAAGAAATATTAACATTATAGAAACAAACTCATGCCTAGCCTGTTTTTATAACAATTCCTTTATTTTTCTTAATCAATTCCATAGAATGGAATGTTATGTCACTGTAATTTTTTTTTAATGAGATATAAGTTACATAACATAAAATTCACCCTTTTAAAATGTGCAATTTCAGTGGTTTTCAGTATATTCACAGATTGTGCCACAATCACTGCTTTCTAATTCCAGAATATTTTCATCACCTCAAAAAGAAACTCCATCCCCATTAAGCAGTCACTCCCCATTCTCCTCTCTCCCAGCCCCTGGTAACCATTCATCTAGTTTCTGTCTCTACGGATTTGCCTATTACAGACACTTCATATGGAATCATACAATTATGCGGCCTTTTGTGTCTAGCTTCTTCCATTTTTTAAAATAATTTTATTTATTTATTTTTTTCCCGCCAAAGCCCCAGTAGATAGTTGTATGTCATAGTTGCACATCCCTCTAGTTGCTGTACGTGGGACGCGGCCTCAGCATGGCCGGAGAAGCAGTGTGTCAGTGCATGCCGGTGATCCGAACCCCGGCCCCCACCAGCAGAGCGCGCGCACTTAACCGCTAAGCCACGGGGCTGGCCCTAGGATAGCCTTTAAAGATTTTATTTATTTATTTATTTTTCCCCCAAAGCCCCAGTAGATAGTTGTATGTCATAGTTGCACATCCTTCTAGTTGCTGTATGTGGGATGCGGCCTCAGCATGGCCGGAGAAGCGGTGCATCAGTGTGCGCCCGGGATCCGAACCTGGGCCGCCAGCAGCAGAGCGCGCGCACTTAACCGCTAAGCCAAGGGCCGGCCCATAGGATAGCCTTTAAACCAGTGGTTTTCACACTGTGTCCCGTGAAGGTACTGGCACCTAAGAGGCAGCCACAGCAGAAGAGGAGTAATGATGAGATTCCTGGCTTTTGTCCAGTCTACTTATTATACCTTTGCAGAAGATTTTATTTAAAGAAAATTTTCATTTACTTAAAAAAAAAGTTTTAAAATTGCTGAATTGAGCTAATCACACATTTATCAAATATTCCCTGCTAGGGGCTAGGAATATAAAGACTACTGAAGATTTGGTTATTTTTCTCTAGTCAAATAGGATGCTAAAGGAATCCAAGGGAGGGGTAATTTTCTCTAGGAGTGTCAGGGAAGACTTTGTTAAGGAAGGGGTGTGTATGTGTGTGAGTGTATGCATGTGTGTGTGTTTATAGGGGAGCAGTAATGGGCCCAGGACCCAGCTTATGCAGAAATATGAAGGTATGAATACTATAAGTGGGACCCGGCCCGCCCCATGGCATAGCAGTTAAGTGTGCACGCTCCGCTGCTGGTGGCCCGGGGTTCGGATCCCGGGAGCGCACCGATGCACCGCTTGTCAGGCCATGCTGTGGCGGCATCCCATATAAAGTGGAGGAAGATGGGCAAAGATGTTAGCCAAGGGCCACTCTTGCCTCAGCGAAAAAAGAGGAGGATTGGCTTGGATGTTAGCTCAGGGCTGATCTTCCTCACAAAAAAAAAAAAAAGAAAGAAAGAAAAGAAAACTACAAGTGGTTCAGTACACTTAAAATGCAAAGTAAAATCGGGCGAAAGATGAAGCCCCATGGAAAGGCAGGGACCATGAATGTCATGCTAAACTATTTAAACTTTATTTTATGGGCTACAGGAAACCAATAAACCAAAATTTTTCCCAGGAGATTGAAAAGATTTATTAAAAAATCATTTTTCTGATGAAAGTGGGGAAAACAGACTGAAAGTGAAGCAGGATGAGATAAGAAAGTAGTTAAGAGACTAGGTTTAGACCAGAAATGATGAATGTCTGTATAAATGCAGTAATATGAGGGCCGGCCCCGTGGCTTAGCGGTTAAGTGCACGCTCTCCGCTGCTGGCGGCCCGGGTTCGGATCCCGGGCGCGCACCGACACACCGCTTCTCCGGCCATGCTGAGGCCGCGTCCCACATGCAGCAACTAGAAGGATGTGCAGCTATGACATACAACTATCTACTGGGGCTTTGGGGAAAAAAAGGAGGAGGATTGGCAATAGATGTTAGCTCAGAGCCGGTCTTCCTCAACAAAAAGAGGAGGATTAGCACAGATGTTAGCTCAGGGCTGATCTTCCTCACAAAAAAAAATAATAATAAATGCAGTAATATGAGAAAGAAAAAAGGGAAGAATGTGAGAGATTTGAGCAGGAGGGCAGGCTCAGAAGAACTTGATAATCGAATGCATGAGGGTGAGTGAAGGAGGAGAGTCTAGGAGAACTACCATGTCTGCAGCTTGGCCAACTGGGAAGAGAAGGATACTCTCTGAGATGGGGAATACAAAAGGAAAAATTAATTAGCTTTTGGACCAGGTGCATTTTGACATATCCGTGGTACACTCTGGTTGAGATCCAACATTAGGCAGAGAGATATTTGGGAATAAAGCTTTGATACAGGTTTGATATAGGGCTTAGATTCAGGAGTCATCAGCATATAAATAATGAAGTTCAAGTGATGGATGTGGAAGTCACCCAGGAAAACTAGGGGAATATAAAATGAGAAGAAGGCTGAAGTCAGAGGACTGGGGAATACCAACTTTTGATGGTTGGTCCAAAGAAGAAGAATCAGTTAAAGAAATAGAGAATGGAGTGGTCTGGGAGGTAAAGGAGATGAGGAGTGGTGCATCTGGAGGCAAGAGAGAAAGTTCAAGGAGTGGTTAATGCCACTAGTTCAAGGAAAGGACAGACTTCAGTTTCCTCGGCTTTGACAATCAGGAGGTCATTAATTATCTTGACAAAGGTTCTGTGATTGGGGGAAGCTGGAGCCAGGCTGCAATTGGTTAAGGAATAAATGGGAAGTGAGGAAATACAGGCAAGAGTTGAATATTTCAAGAAGTTTGGCTCTAGAAGGCCAGAAAATAGGCTAATAAGTCATAGTTATAGGGGATGTAAGGAAGGAAGGCTTTTTTTTTTTCTAGACAGGAGAGACATGAGCATATTTATATGATGAAGAAGAAGGAGTTAGAGGAGAGGAAGAGGCTGAAGGTTCAGGAAAGAGGAACTAATTGATGGAACAAGGTCTCAGAAGAGATTGGGGAGGATGTTTTATGTAGGTACTGGAGCAGGAAATGTTAGAAAAGAAGGGAAGAAAATAAAGATGAGTGAAGGTATAGGTTAGTTTGTATGAGGAGTGGGTATGGATTGAAACTTGAGGGAGTTAATACCTAATCTTGTTCAGTTAAATAAGTAACGTTATTTCCCGTATCAGTCAGGTTCTACCAGAGAAGGAACCAGGAGGAGGTATATCTACATATATACATAAAGAGATTTATTGCAAGGAATTGGCTTATGCAACTGTAAAGGCTGGCTAGGCAGGTCTGAAATCTGGAGGGCAGGTTGGCAGTCTGGAAACTCTCGGGCAGAAGGCGATGCTACACTCCACAGGAAGAATTTCTTCTTCCTCAAGGAAATCTCAGTTTTTCTTTTTTTCCCTGCAAATTAATTTATTAGCTTATCAAAATTTATATCTTTAGTAACTTCATTTTTTTAAAAAGTGTTTTCCAGCTTTATTCAAGTATAATTTGACATATAAAATTGTAATATATTTAAAGTGTGCAGCGTGATGATTTGATATACGTACACCTTGTGAAATGATTCTAACAATCAAGTTAACACATCCATCATCTCACATAGTTAAGTTTTTATAAAAAATTTTTGGTGAGAACGCTTAAGATCTATTCTCTTAGCCAATTTCAATTATACAATACAGTATTATCAACTATAGTCACCATTTTATATGTTGGATCATCAGAACTTCCTTTATAACTGAAAGTTTTTACCCTTTTACCAACATCTCCCCATTTCCTGCACTTCCTAGCTCCTGGCAACCACCATTCTACAGTCTGTTTCTCTGAGTTCAACTTTTTTATCTTAGAGTCCACAAATGGGTGATACCACGAAGTATCCGTTTTGCTCTTAAGCCTTCCAACTGACTGGATGAGGCCCACCCAGATTATCCAGGATAATGTCATTGACTTAAATCATCGTAGATGGTAACAATGTCTAAAAAATATCTTCACAGCAACACCTAGATTAGTTTGATTGAATACTGTACTATAGCCTAGCCAAACTGACACATAAATTCCCTGTTGCACCTGGAGGGTAGGAGGGTAGGTGGGCTGGAGTGGGGAATCAGAAGAATGGCACAGAGTGAAAGAGTTTTGCTGACCAAAGGCAGGTAAAAGGATTACTGAGGAATGTTGGGAACCTAGCTATCAAAGGTCACAGTGAGTTGACAGAGTACTGCACAGGGACTTAGGAAACCTAAGTTCTAGCTCCACTCAGCTATATGACCTCAGCCAAATCTCTTAACCTCTCTGGATTTCAATTACCCATTTGTGAAGTGAGCTTTCTAAGGCCATTCTAGTTCTCACATCCTAGGAATCCAAATTCTAAGAATTTAGGGTTACATAAAAACAAGTGGCCTCATTGTCCGGTGGTTGAATGTTCTATAGGGATAACTGAGATGTGTGCATGGAGAAGGAGGTCCCAGACACATAGCCTGGGATGGCCTGGAATGGGGGCATGTCTGGAATGGCTGCAATTTGAGGCCTCAAGTACGAGTGCTCTGGATCGTGCCTGGAATGAAGGGCCCAGAGGCCCACCAGCTACAAACGGAGCCCACAGTTCCTCTGATGACAACCCGGAGTTGAAAGGCAATCTCTCAAAAAGACCCTCCGACCTACAGGAGGTCACCAGATTAACTGGGTGATATAACTATGCCTGCTTCCTCGTTTGGATCATCATGGACTCCACAGTGGCTGGTACTGAGTCCTCAAGCTCCCCCTGCAGAGCAGAGCAGGGAGAGAGCCATGTCAAGGGAACACAAGGCCAGGCCTCTTGAGCAGCCCCACAAACAGAGAAGCCTCACGCTGCACAAGCACAGTCATCCAGGAGACAGCTGAGGTCAAATCCCTGAACAGCAATCACCAACAGGAACCACCTCTCCATGCAGGAGAAGAATCCCCTTAGACTACAGCTCATGGATTTCAACAAAGTTTTTGGCCCAATAAACTCAAGTCCCGCCAATGAGAGCGTGCAATCCTTGGTGTTATCATGAATTTGGACTTGTATGTGCTGGGGAAAGACAGTAAATACAGACCGATAATTGACTTAGGGCATATGAGAGAACATTTAAGGATCACTTCAGGTAGGAAGACTATATTAGTAATCATACATATTTGAGGGGTTTATTTCAGGGAAAAACAATAGAGAGAGATGAAAAATGAAGAGGCAACTAACATTTATTGAACATCCATTATGAGTTCAGGTACTCTTCAAAATTCCCTCATTTAATTGTGACAACAATCCTGTTGGAAAGTAGTAGTATTCTCGTTTTTCAGATGAAGTCACCAAGACAGAAAGCAGTTGATATGTTTGTGGGTGGTATGAGAATCACGGGGACAGATGTCAGAGGTCACTGTGTCCCCTCCCTCCCAAACCTACACCCCTGTCTATTCCCCAGTATTTAATAACTGAGCAAACCTAAGCAAAAAGTGTCTTTTTTCTTTTTTTTTTTTAATTTTTTGTTTATTGCAGTAACATTGGTTTAGAACATTGTAAAAGTTTCAGGTGTACATCATTGTACTTCTATTTCTGCATAGATTACATCATGTTCACCACCAAAATACTAATTACAACCCATCACCACACACATGTACCAAATTATCCCTTTCACCCTCCTCCCTCCCCCCTTCCCCTCTGGTAACCACCAATCCAATCTCTGTCCCTATGTGTTTGTTTATTGTTGTTATTATCTACTACTTAATGAAGGAAATCATATGGTGTTTGACCTTCTCCCTCTGACTTATTTCACTTTGCATTATATCCTCAATGTCCATCCATGTTGTCACAAATGGCTGGATTTCATCGTTTCTTATGGCTGAGTAGTATTCCATTGTGTATATATACCACATCTTCTTTATCCATTCGTCCCTTGATGGGCACTTAGGTTGCTTCCAAGTCTTGGCTATTGTGAATAACGCTGCAATGAACACAGGGGTGCATGTACCTTTGCAAATTGGTGTTTTCAAGTTATTTGGATAAATACCCAACAGTGGAATAGCTGGATCATATGGTAGTTCTATCCTTGATTTTTTGAAAAAAGTGTCTTTTTTTCTATTCTCTGTTTCAATTTGCCAACAAAAGGAAACTCACCCAGAAACCCTCTAAATCTTGGTAGAGCAAATGAAAAAAAGATTTGTTGGACTTGGTACAAAACCAGAGCTCAGGAAAACTACATTACTTCGTTCAGTCATATGACAAAAATTTATCAGGTACCCGTGTTGTGTCAGGCACTCTGCTAAATGCTGTTACTTGTCCAAAGTCACAAACAGTATGCAGCAGAATGAGGATTACACTCAGGTCTTTCTGATGTCAAAACCTGGGCATTTTTCACACATCCATGATTTTCAAACATCTTAGAAACGAAATCTTACAAGGAATTCCAATATGAGGATCACACAGTTGGAAAACCATGTCATGCTTCTGCCCATGAGTTTTGACAAATGCATACACCTGTGTAACCCAAACTCCTATCACGGTATAGGATGTTACCATCACCCCAGAAAGTTCCCTCTGGGCCCTTCCAAGTCACTTCCTGACTCTAACTCCCAAGAGGCAACCACTTGTCTGACTTTTCCCCCACAGACTAGTTGAGCCTGTTCTGCATTCAATCTGTTGTTATACTACATATCAGCAGCATCTGGAAAACTCCACTGTACACCCAGGAGAGAATAAGAATGAAAAGGCAAATAACATCTAAGTACTATTATGAAAATAGTTTTAAGTTTGCAGTGGTCTGGGGCCTCCAGACCACATTTTGAGAATCCTTTGCTCTAGGGATTACAGTATTTTGTTTTGTTTTAAATGTTAATATACTATTCTTTTTTGTCTTCTCAAGGCAACCTCTGCAGAGCAAGTCTCATCATTCCAGTGAGCACATCAAACTTGCTCATGCACAGCAGCCACCAAGGCTGACCTCAGTGCCTTCAGGAAAGGGCCTGTGGACTGCTCAGCAGGACCCTTGCTGAGCCCCTCTGGGTGGTGCCCACACTTGGCTCTTATATAATTGCATGTGTAGTGAAGGAGAAGGGAAAGGGTGTCCACACGGGGCAGACTGGCACAGCTTCCTGGACATAATGTCTAATAGGTTGGACATAATGTCCCTACCAGGACCTCAAAGATGGAATGATCATCTCTGGTTAAGCTTCCAGAAGGAATAGGGAACTCCTTAACAGATGGTTGAACCCACAGAACATGGGACTGTGGGTGAAGTTGACAAAGTAACAGACAGATCATGCCTTTAACGCTGACTCTCACATGTCTGTTGAGTGTTGAGTTGCAAAGTAAGGAACATCCAAGCTGGTCTCTTCAGTTCAGACATGTGACATAAGGGGACACATATGTCACTTGGCCTCTTCACCTCACATAGTGACTTTGGGCTCAGCAAGAGGTGGGTGCAACATGACAGTCTACAATCCAGCCAGCGTAATCCTGACCTACAGCAGTGACCAGACCTTTAAGCACCGTTGACTGCGCTGAGGTCAAGTCCAGCAATCCACAAGAGGACCCTCACCCCACAGGTGCGCAACTTCTGAGGCAAGAACCTAGAAAAAGTGAAGATCACTACCAATCCTTTAGAATAATTCCGTTTCCAGACAACATCATCCTTATTCATATAATCACCTCTTCTGCTACTTGCCATTAGTGCCTTGGAGTGGATTCCTTCCTCTAGCCACCCTGTGGACAGTAGAGCTGAACCCTGCTCCCTCTTTTTGCGCCATCTTCTCACCTTCCGGCGCTATATTGGACAATGCTCTCCTGCTGTTCACAGGGTTTTTTTTTTTGAGGGGAAGATCAGGCCTGAGCTAACATCCATGCCAATCCTCCTCTTTTTGCTGAGGAAGACCGGCCCTCAGCTAACATCTATTGCCGATCCTCTTCCTTTTTTTCCTTCCCAAAGCCCCTGTAGATAGTTATATATAGTTGCACATCTTTCTAGTTGCTGTATGTGGGACGCGGCCTCAGCAGGGCCGGACAAGCGGTGCGTCGGTGCATGCCCAGATCTGAACCTGGGCCGCCAGTGGCAGAGCGCACACACTTAACCACTAAGCCACAGGGCCGGCCCCTGTTCATAGGGTTTTCATGGCCAATTTTTTCAGAAGTGGGTGGCCAGGTCCTTCTTCCTAGTCTGTCTTAGTCTGGAAGCTCCACCTAAACCTGTCCACCATGGTGACCTTGCTGGTACTTGAAATACTGGTGACATAGCTTTCAGCATCACAGCAACGTGCAGCCACCAAAGTATGACAACCAACAGAGGGGTGGTGTGGTTCCCTGACCAGAAATGCACCCGGGGCCATGGCGGTGAGAGCGCTGAATCTTAACCACTAGAGCACCAGGGCAGGCTCTTCTGCCACTAAAATAGCAAAATTTGTATTCAGTCCAGGGAAATTTTTGGATAAATTAATTAAGTGCCTTTGATCACTGTCTGCTTGATTCCAACCAAAATTCGGAGTTATCTGAGGGGAAGAAGTGAGGTGAAAAGGAAATCTGGCGGGGGCGGGCGCTCAGCAATCCTCCTGACCGCCGCTGTCACCAACGCCCGGGGCGCCCGAGCTTGCGCCGGAGCGCGCTCCCGGACATCAACGGCTGGGCTGCCAGGGTGCGCGCATGCGTCCTCCACCAGGGGAAACTTTTTCTTGCAGGACCGGGAGGCGAGCCCTAGAGGGCGGGATAGTTGCGGCCACAAGAAGGGGCTTCCGGCGGCGAGGAGCCGTGATTGGTGGAGCCTAGGGGAGGGGGCGGGGCACCGGGAAATTCGAATAGGAGAGGCGGGTCAAAAGAGGGAGTGGAATGGACGCGGGGGTCCCGGCGCAGCCGAGGCGACGCGAGATGGCGGCGGCGACCTCAGGTACGCGGTCCCGGCCTGGCGGGGCGGGGCGCCGAAGTCTGGAGCCTTGTGGGGTAATGCGTCGGAGTCCGCTTCGGACTCCGCGGGTTGTCCGGAGAGGCCGGAATGGCGCGGGGGCGGGGAGGGAAGGCGGGAGTGTGGGAGTCACAAGCTGGTCGGCCCTCCTCGCTCTTTCCTTCTCACTGTTTCCTGCTCTCCGCGCGGATCAGTAGACCTGGATTGAGACCCGGTTCCAGCACTAGGGTTTCGTTTGAGCCCAGCGCACTTTTCTGTGAGCTTCAGTTTCTGTCTGTAAAGGGGGGACAATGCCCCCATCTCAGGAGATGAAGTGAGTAAGCGAGCGAAAGCGGCTAACGTTCTCACCTAAGGACAAAAGGAAAGGAGCTGGATGCGCGTCTTGGGGAAGGGTTCTGTGTATGAGTGGTGTTGGGGTGCGGGGGCGTCCCTGGGAGCTGTAGGAGGGCAGGCCGGGGTTCAGACGGGCTGCAGCGGGGTGTGAGTCGACAGCATAGGATGCGCTGAGATCCCAGGAAAGGGAAATAAGGGACTGTTGCCTTTCACTCTAGCCGTGGAAGTGAGTGCTATGTTAGGGCCGGAAAGGCTGTGAGGACGCTCAGAATCTGGTATTTGTTTACATATGTCTCGGCTCTCTTCCTGTAGACTGAATTTTGGTCGGCGATTAGGTGGGCACCATAGTAATTTATTTGAGTCCTTTACTGTTTGTCAGGTTCTGTGGAGAAACAAAGCTTTTAGTAGAATGTCGAACACATGTTGAGCCCGTGCTAGGCGCTGAGCGCAGTTGCAAGCACTTTATGCTGATGAATTAATCTCCACACAGTGCTATGAGGTGGTTACTATTATTGTCCCGGTTTTACAGATGAGCAAACTGAGGCATAGCTGTGTTAAGTAACTAGTTCAAAGTTAACACAGCTAGTAAATATTGGGGTCTGAATTTGCACCCAGGCAGTCTGACTCGAGAGCCTCTGCTCTTAACCATTATGCTCAAGCACATGATCTTCCTGCTGTCTGAGCATAACCTCCCCTCATCTTTCCAAGGCCCACTGTGTCTGGTACATAGTTAATCTCGTAAGAATGCTTGAATGAATACTGTGCCTTCTCTAGAGGAGCTTATAGTCTGTTTCAGTAGTCATATAAACATATAATATGAAAAACAATGAGAGATGTGTATGCTTATGTATATACATCTATCTATATGCTATAAGAGTTAGAATCTGAAGTAAACCCTTGGGTATTCTGGAGGACTTCATTAAGGAAGTGATATTTGAGGTGGGTTTCAAAGGTTGGACAGGAGTTTGCCAGGCCTTGGCAGGACGAAAAGACCACCAAGTGATTTCTTATTTATGATGTATAGAGAGGCTAAAGTTGCTCTCTTTGGCTCAAATTCCTAATCAATAAAAGAGAAAAGAATTCAGCTGAATGAAAATTGGGAAGGGATGGGGGTGGGGTGAGGGAGTAGAGGGGTG